AATGTAACATGCCTCATTATTCATAATACATAGTTTTGTCTTTTAATGATGTTTCATTGTTTTCAACTTTAAATATTGTCTTTCATTGCTGTAAGCCACCTTGGGTCCTTTTCAATGAGAAAGGTAAGGTAAAAATATTTTAAACAAATAAGTATAATTAGATATGGTTTCAGGATGCAAGGTGGTAGAGTTAGGCGACTCTTGAAAGCGGCCCCTTTATACATTCTATGGTGGCATATTCACCCCATGTTTTGCAAGTTCTGCAAGAGTCTATGATGCTTCACATCTGAATGTCTTGAATGTCTGAGGTAAAAATATTTTCCAGGGAAATGTACAAAATACAATGTAATAGGCTAAATTTAGCAGCGGTCCCATTGAAATGAATGGAGGTGTTCCTCAAAATGTGTATAGATCCCATTTATTTCAATGGTTCTGTTGTAGTTGAGACTCTGTTGGATTTAGCTGAATTTTCTGAGGTGACAGACATGAATTTACAAATCCTCATGTCAGACAAAGCCAACAAACAGCCTTGTACAGCTCAAAGGCTCAAAATCCATGAGACTTCATATAAATAGTGAGAAATATATGGTCCACAACATGCTGCTGAACTGTAGCTCCTATCAGACCCCGACCATTGGCTATGGTGGCTTGGCCTGATGGGAGTTACAGTCCAAAAAGTGCAGAACAGCCCCAGCAGTCTTTTCTGCCATCACAATCTGGGTAGTGTAAGCTAAGGTATAAATGCTTCCCATTTCTGTTAGTTATTTATCTGCTGTCAGGTCGGAACTGACTTATAGCGACCCTATTAGGACTTTCAAGGTAAGTAAGATATTTAAGAAGCGGTTTTAACAGTTATATACCCCCAGTGAGTTTTCATGGCTGAGCAGGGAATTGAACCCTGGTCTCCAGAGCCCTCATCTATCACTCTATCCACTAAACCACACTGGGTACCCACTGTAGTGTACTGAATAGAATAATGGACTAGGACTCAGGAGACCTGAGTTCAATTCCCCAACTCTGCCATGGAAACTCACTGTGGGGTGGAACTTGTAAAAACTCACTCTTTAAATACCTCACTTACCTTGAAACCCTTATTGCGGTCTCTATAAATCAGTTTTGACTTGGCAGCTCATAACAACAGGTCTAAGATGCCTTCGTTGTTTTTGCTGTGTAAGCTAATACTGCTACCTTTCTAGAATGGATCACAGAAGCACACTTAATGGGGAGCTGGGAGTGATGATGGCTTCTTGAAATGCATTCACTTGGAGGTAAACTAATCTAGATTTTTGGACACAGAATATATGGTGGAGCTCTTATCCATCTGAAAAAATATCCCTTTTATTAACAGCTCAGTTGAAGAGAATTCCCTGACTTCTGCACTCACGACTTGCCAAGCCAGGTCCCGGCGTGAAAAGAGGCACCATTTGTATTATCTTTGTATCAACAGGGACACCCATCTCCCACCCAAAGCAAACTGTGAGCAACATAGAGATCAGCCCATTCCCATTCCTGCTCTGGGAGGACTGACTTTAATGTTCTGGACAACTTGAAAGGCTTCTGCTGTGGGAGAGGTAAATATTCATGACAGATACATTTTAAAAGTCTTTGGGAAAGCACATCACCCAGCAGGTGCTGCATTTTTCAGAAGGTGCATTTCTTCACTTCCTAGTAGTATTTTTTTAAAAAAAAACATATGCAATGGTCATGCTTAAAAGGGAACACCTGAGGCTCTTCCTCTTCTTGTTGAATCTCTTAATACAAATATTGTAAGTACTAATTATGAATAATTACATTAACGATGACAAATTCCCTGACACATCTCAGCCTGTTAAGGAGAAGGGAGGAAGATAGCAGGAAGTAGTGTTAATATCTCTGGATTTAGAAGAGATTCTACAGAGCAATATTTGAAAAATTGCCCAGAAGCTAAAAGAGGCTTTCCTGAGAATGTGCACATTGAGTCCCATGGCTGGTGGGCTTCGTTTTTGTATGTGCAGTCTAATGCCCCATGTTTGTAGGCTAGACACAGACATTACAGGAAATGTGTGGCATCTCCCCAAAACAGCCACTGTATATCTGGTTTATCCATGTAAAGAAGATTCGTCAAGTTCTTCATTCTTATTGATTTAGATTGTCTTGATGAGACACCTCAACAAGGTATTTTCAAGCACCCCTTCTTCCCCACTCTGTGAGATTCCTTGCTTCCAGGCAAGGGTGAGACAAAGGGTGCTGTTTTCCCCTCATCATCACTTCTATTACTTGTGCAAGCTGCCTCTTCTCAAACTGCCCTCTTGCTTCACAGAGAGAGTGAGCACCCTGGGAGTGGCTAACTGTTTTTAAAGAGAGAGAAGGTGGTGGTGGGGGGTGAAGGTAGGGAGATGAAGGGCCTGTCCAGACTGGTATATAGATCACTGTGTGTGGATCACTGCTGGTGTGGTTTGTTTCAAACCAACTTACAGCATTCACACCTGTTTCTACTTCAATTGATCCATCCCAACCCTTTAAGAACTGTCCCGCTCCTTTCTGGTATAGCACTGGGGGCTTCAGGTTTCTGGTATAATTCAGATTGCTCCTAATTATCCCGTTGTGTTGCCCATGCAGATGGCTTGTTTGCACCTAAACTAAGTTGTAGATGGCATTAAGCGAGGAGACAACTCTGTGACAAATCAAGTGGGTTATGCTATCAAAAGGTACAATGGAAAAAAACCCTCCTCTATTTTTTAAAAAATATATTTCACTAACTGACACAGCAAAATTCTAATACCCTGCCAGATTGATGCATTGTTATTTTGATATGCCCCTTACTTTGTTTAATGAAAAGGGGAAAATGAAAGTCACCACGGCCTGCTGAACGATGGCCATGGGACAAGGTTGGGAAGGAGACTATGTTGAACCCCTGGTCTCTACCACCACGAGGCAGCACCACCCCAGCAGAGCCCCAGCTGAGGGAAAAAGGTAGGAAAAAAGGGGAGGTTACTTCCCTTCATCTCCCCAGCCTTCAATCCAATGTTTTGTCCTTGCACCACTGCCAAGATTCCTTCCAAGGCACGCAACTGCATGCATGTGTGTGACTCCACCTCGCTCCGCACAGCTTTCCTCACCCTATGTGCAGGGATTGTTTTCAGTCTCAGTGCTCCCCATTGCGATGCAACTCTACAGGTGGGAGGTGGAGTCTCACCTGCACGCAGCAACTAAATCACACACGCAAGAGGCAGAGCCCTGTCCATCAGGGCTGAATGTTAGAGGGCACATTGACCCTGGCTGCTTGCAAGTAAACCAAGTAAACCTTGCTCATGAGTAAACCAGCGATCCAAAGACCTATGTGGACCTTCCTCATGAGAGAATAAACATCACCAGTGTGCACAGAAGGATCACACAATTGAGAGATACAATAGATTAAATATAAGAACTTCTAAAGTGTGAACCACACTGCTCCAGATTCCCCCATCTGGACAAGCCCTAACAACCCCTTTGATGGTCATTCTTAGAAGTCAATGCGACAAAGCAGCAGGCCATGGCCACTTTGAGCTTTACTAGTATGAAAGCATTATTTTTTGCATGAAAGTGCTATTTGTGCCATTTTGCTTACTATTAGCGGTGGGCATGAATTAAAAATGAAACACCAAATTCATTCAAAAATTGCTAATTTGTCAATTTGTATTTGTATGACTCAATGCCCTCAATGAATACATATCAATGAATTGTGACTCGTCAATTCTTGGGCATCTGAAATCGAAACTTCACCAAACTTGTAATGCTTGTAGAGAAGACTCAGAGGAAGATGCCTGGAAAATTTGGTGTCTCTAGGTGCTTTGGGGGGCATTTTATAGAGGTTTAAAGTAAAAAATGAATTAAATTGATTCATCAATTTGTCAGAAAAAATGATTCATAATTTGTGATTTGTCAACTTTGATGAATCACGAATCAAAATGAATAACCATTTTTTTATTTGTGCCCATCTTTACTTACTACACATAAAACATTCATACTCTTAACTCATTTTTTCTGAGAGCACCACAAAGCACCTTGTCCACTTGCCAAGTGAGGAGAGTGATACTGTGGTTCTTCATGCTCACACACAAAGGCAAGACATGTCAGAATTTTCCACCCGCAATTTAGGCCATTCTTCACCCTCAGTAACATTGAGCAGAAATGTCCTGAAGTCATGCCATCACACTTCCTTTAAAAAAAAGAGTCATCAGCAGCAACAGACTGTGCAAAAGAATGGGAACTGCACATCATTGAGATGCCATGCAACACAAGCCATGCAATGTTTCAGAGTGTGAGTGGGGAATGGCAACAGGATGCAGAGCAACTATTTTCTGTCATCATTACATGTTTATTGCCATGTCTACTTTGACCCTTGAATGCTTGCAGAAATTTCTTGAATAATGTGATTTTTGTTGTTTTAAATTTAAATCTAGTTGTTCTGTTGCAAAGGTGTACGTCTGGCAAAACTAGAAACTGAAATGCCAGCAGCCAGTTTGCTTAATGTTGGTCTTTGCTGTAAAATAACTGTATTTCGAAGACCTTTCTCAAGTGGTAGTTACAAGGCTCTTAAGCAGCCATGTATCACCCATGAATTATTTGAAGGTCAGCTGAGAAATGACCTCTCCCTTTCTCTCTCCTGAGATTCTCAGTTGTGTAAAGCTTTTCCATTTTTAAAAAACTCATTTTGAAGGTGACATTTTTTAAATGAAAGCATTGGTGAGATGCTGGCTTTATCTCCAGATTTGGGGCAGCAAGAAAAACTTCACTCAATTATTAACAGGACTCTGTCCAGATGATCTGGCCACCTGTCTTACAGTTTGTACGTGGGGGAATGAATTGACAATGTACTTGTGAAGAAATCATGATTTCCTATATTTTTCACTGCAGATACATGCAATCCACACTGATTCACAAGTTAGCATTGTTCTTGCTGAATGAACTCTCCAGAGCATTTTTTAGATCATTGATATATAGGCTGCATTTCTGTGCCTAAAAACATTTCTCACAATTACCTTAGTCCTCATAATGGCTTTAATAGCAGCTTCAAACTCCTCTGAATTATTGTAGTCTACTGTCCAGACGTGGGGCTTCCCTATGAAATCCTCTGCATAGGGATGCTGAGAGGAAACCTAAAATGCAGAAAGGAAACCAGTTATTTAGCTTATCCTGAAGAGAGACAGCATGATTGGAAGTATGTAAAAAAATAGTAATATGTTAAGACCACAAAGAATAGCAAACATTCAAGTGACTCCTTGCTCTCATGACATATCTCCCAACATTTTTTTTAATTCTGGCCACCAGAGGGCATAAGCAGGCTTTTCCTATTTTAAAAACTAATTTGGGGAAATGAGTGCACATGTGTGTGCCTGTGTGCATATGTGTGTTCAGGGCATACACATATGCACTATAGGACTGGCTGTTGGCCTCCAGGATCCAGGCTTGGATCATCCACTTTTCTTTATGTGTATGCAAGAAACAAATTTCTTATTGGAGTCTTTTTCTTGCTATTATTACTATAAAAAAAGTAAAAAGTAAAAAGTAGTCCAAGAGTTTTGAACATTGCTTTTTAAAAGTAATTGACTTATCAGTTGCACTTATCATTTCAAAGCCCTCACACAATTACTATGACAGTTACAGTTTTTGAAAGTAACTATCAATTCTCAGAAGTAATTCAAATTTACTTTGTTATTGTGTGTGTTTTGTGCTGTTAAGTGCAAAGCAACTTATAGGAACCCTAATAGAGCTTTCAAGGTATTTGAAAGCCCTATTAGAGACATTTAAGGAGTGTTTTTGCCAGTTCCGCACCCCCATGGCTGAGTGGAGATTCAAACCCATACCTCCCGAGTGCTAGTCTGTTACTCTGTCCACTCCACCACACTGGGAATCTCAGTGTTACTTTGTTATTACTTCTGACTCATTAAAAAAAAAGGCTTCTTTACTTTTGTTAAAAAATCTGAATTTGTTTTCATGTAGCAGCATGAAGCACAGCACAATCCAGCATTTGAACTATGACATATTTTAATTCCTTAATTCATTGATGCCAGACTTTTGTAACTAAAAAAGGTTGCAACTACACCATAAAAGGAGTGCGGCTATCCCTCATTATGCTACAGTTAGGGTGTATTACAGTGATGTTTCCTTGTTGTGGAGAAGAATTACTTGTAACGATTTGTAACTATTTATTTCCATTCTCTGAGCAGTACTTCTTTAACCACATAGTAAAACACTACGATTATGCAGGGTTTTTTTAAAAGAAAAAAAAATAAAGATACACTGAAAGAAGATATGGAGCTATAAAACATAATCTCATCATCCTATCCACTAGAACACACTGGCTGCCTGAAGAACAGATGTGTATAGAATAGTGACAAGGTAACCTTCCTCTCCTTTAAATATCCCAGTCAACAAGACTTACGCCAGTTGAGGCTTAGGCCTGTTTCCTAAAATCTTCCTCACTGATGTTTTGAAAATCAGACTTACCTCTCTCGAAGTAGGCTTCCCTCTGAAAAATTCATGATTGAGCGAACTATGAGGTGGGTTGAACCGAGCCTGCAGGAAGACACACCCATTCGCTATCGCTTCCAAAGGGGCAGGACCTTCATATGGGAAACCAAACCCAATGAAGAGCTGTGGGAAGCAAATGAGTCATTTCAGTGAGCCTCTTACATGACAAAGCAGCACAAAGCTGTTTGATGCACACCTTGCAGGAAGAAATAAATCTGAAAACACTTTAGAGCCCACCTTGCTAGAGTTCATTATGTGTCTCAAAATTTGTCATAGTCTAACCACACTTACTAGGGAGTAAACCACATTGAGTCTGGTAAGAGGTACACAGCTAGGCACTTCCTCTCATGACCCACTCCAAGGAATGAATAGGTTTGCATTGCCTACCTCAACATCAAAAAAGACTCTGTTCTAATTTGCTGCCTTTGTGACCTCAGAGGTTTTTGTCATGAGAAAAGGCTCAGACACAAAAAGGACAAAACACTTAGCACCTTCTTTAAAAGAACATGTTCCTTCAAGTGGTTAAAGACAGCTGTTTGTCATAGCACATGGCTATTGTTAATGATGCAATCTGCCACTTAGCATGCTTTGTTTTGTGACAGGTCAGTGGAAGGTAAACATGGGCTCAATTTGCAAGTCTGATACTGAGGCATGTATCTCTGAGAAATACTGTTTTCAGAGGTGAGTGGGATTAACTAGAGTTAATGTACATTCCTTTCAACATTTAATTTGACCCTCGAAGCTGTCATAAGTGTGACCAACGCTGGATTGTGTCTTTTCATGTTATGAAATGTGGGGAGGAAAACAGAAGCAGATCTGTTAATTCTACCACCCTCATTTTGGAACTAAAAAAATTCCATCCAAAATGGATAAGGAAATGAGGAAATCATAGTAAATATATATATACATTGGAAACTTCTATATGTTCATAGGCAGAAAACAGAGAGCAAACAGTAATACATTCTCTGTTGCAATTACATGCTTCAGTGAATTCCTTAGAACCACTAGCAAGACAGCTTAAGGTTTGCAGAAACCTCTGACTCTGTAATTATGAAGAAGATCCATCTGTAAGATCTTCACTTATCTCTCTCCATAATGAGATTATACTCTTCCCAAGCCATTTCTGCTCTTCTCTTCTCTTCTAATTCTGTTATGCCATTTTCTTACAAGCAGTGGCCTCATCAGCCTCGCATTACCAACTATGGAAGCAAATCATTACTGATCTTACGAGCTAAGCATATCGGAATAGTACAGAATGTCACCCACAGCAGGAGCGATGGATAGTTCTCTGTTGAGGGCCACATTTCCTTGAAGAGTGACGTGGTTGCCTCGGACTTCAGATTTGGGGTGTCATGAAAGAGCTGCCACTTGTTTGGACAGCTGTTCTTATTTTCAGAGATGCGGAGAGATAGATGTGGGGCTTTCTGCCCCATGTATCCAAATTACATGGCCAATTTGAACACTATGAACCTTGATTCGAGTTAGTGTTGGAACCATTGCTGCTCTTTTTCAGTTAACTAAATGCCTTGTTCAAAGATAATCTCTCAGCCAGTTAGTTTCCTATTGTTAAACTGAATTGCACAGGCATGAACTGGTCACTTGCTGTTCCTCTTTTGTCTCTTAATCCATCAATCAAATTTCCTATGCTTTTTTTCCCCATCCCCCTCTCCCTCAGGGTCCCTCCTCTTGCATGATGTCAAGCTGAAGCCGTCAGGCTGCAGGCCTGCCCTGTCCCACATCAACAATGCACTATGGAGTGCTCTAGTCAACAAATCCAACAAGAGTGTGCTCATCTCTCCAGACAAAAACTATACGGAGAACATGCCATGCAGGCCACTGAGATGATAAGGAAGCCCCACTGAGCATTACCTAACATTGCACAGCACAGGTATGCCTGTTAAATATGGTTCCTTTCTGTCACAACAATATGGAAATGCAGGGCTGGTATCAACACCTGCTGTTCTTGGGCAATTGCTGGGAGCCTTGCACCCAAACAGAGCCTCCCAGGATGCCTGACCCTAACCCTCTCTTTTAAAAAATGTTCCTGCAGAGTGACCCAAGCAGTCCCAGGAGGCTGAGGGCCAAGCAAATGGGAAACATTCCCTTAATGCATCAACATCTTTATTGGATACTCTGAGAATTAAAATAGAAGGGTAAAGCCATCTGGTATGTTTTTGTCTATCACTAAGTAAGCTGGCCAGTGCTCCCTTGCAGAGGAAAAGGACAACTCAAACCTGGAGCCACACCTAGTAGGATCTTCAACTGATGGGAAGAAAACCAAAATATATGGAACAGACCTACAATCTGAGAATCTCCTGCTTCAGAATCTTTCTACAACCAAATGCTTAATGGATTCACAATTTCTCCCATTAACAGACATCTCCCTCCTCACATCAGTCATTTACTGTCATCAACCTCGCAGCTTTTCTGCAGATGTAGAGATCAAGTGACAAGACTGGTTAGTACAGCTTTTCTTAACCTGATGCCCTCCAGATCTGATGCCCACAGGATCTTTTTCATCCCGTGCCAGCACCAGCCTGAGAAAAGCTGACCTAGTACTTTGTCCCAGGATAACTCCTCCCCATGCAGTATTTCCACTGCCCCATTGCTTCCATATCATTGTCCATCAGCATCACCATCCCATCCAGGCCAAGCCACAGCCTGCCTGCCTCCATACATTAAGATCCCTTGCAGGAAACATAGTATCTATTCTAACTTTCGAGCATGAGGCATTCTTATTGTTGAAAAGGGTTTTCCTTCACACATATATCTATTATCCAGTCTTTGGGGGCTGAGGGCCCCAACAGTCTTCACCGATGGCAAAATACCTTGGCCTTTCTCAGCAGCTGCTGAAACTCATGTTGTGGCAGAAGGCCATGATTCTTGACAAAAGCCGGAACTTCAGGTGGCCGCTGGGTTTCATAATAAACAGTGCCGTGGATCTCCATGTATTTGTTAAGAATAGCTAGAAACTTCTCTTTGCCCTTGGAAAGGAAGGAAAGAGAAATAAAGTCAGCAGAGCCTGCTAAGACTCAAGAGGGCAAATTCTACAACACCACTCAGATTCCTTCAAATTGCATATATCCTGTTACAGTTCATCTGAACAAGCCCTTTCCCCCAAAGAAACACAGAATCAGAGAGAGAGAGTGTGTGTGTGAGAGAGATGCAACACAAATAGAAATGATGGGACAACATCTCATGCAATAGTTATAGAGAGTGGCTGGCAATCTGAGAATCTCCTGCTTCAAAATCTTTCCTCAACCTTGAGCTCTCTGGGTCACCACAGACAGGCTACTCTCTCAGTTCTATTCCTTCTTTAATAATGGGACAATAATGCTGGCCTCTCTTAGTGGAATGTTGCAAGGATTACTGTCGGAAGCTAGGACAAGAAAGAGGAATCCAGACATTGCTAAACTGCAATCCCAGTTATCCCTCACCATATACTATGGTGGCTAACGAGATCGAGGGGGCTCACTCATCTAGCAGAAGTGCATTGAGTGCTGATGGGGGAGAGCTACTGGTGAGAAGTCATGACACGATAGAAGTCAATGGCCTCTTGAACCTTAGCCCCCAGGAAACCAGGAACAGAGGGGGAACAGTGGCTACCCCCTGGTTTGGCTGCTATATTGCAAGAAAATAGATAGGTTTTCAAGGATTTGAAATGAGGTGTTATTCTGCAGCTACCCAGGTGCTTTTCCTTTTAGGAAGAGGCCTTGCATTAGTCTAATTAACTCTGGCACTCATTGGATGGTGCCTTTCAAGAACTGCACAGTCCTGTTAAGGACTTCATTATCACTCTATCAATTTAATAGCTTTGCAGATCAATACATGTCACACAACGTTTCCAAGCATGGATCTCTCTTCCTTGCCAGCCCCAGTTCTATGTAAGAGGAGGAATGCCCCTTTCAAGTTCAGCTGTGGTCAGCGCTGTCCTCTGCAGAACAGGCTTCTTTTTATCCATCCTTCCTCTATTTCCATACTTTTCTCAGCAATAAAAGATCAAACCCATAGCCATATTAAATTGTGAGCGGAAACTCACAAGTGGCAATTAATCTCTGCTGTTTACAGAAACCCAGCATGGAAATGAAGTTCTTCAGAGCTAGAGAAGCTCAGGCACATTCTCCTGATCAACTCCCACACACTAAGGGGGCTGTCCTTTTGATGTTATGCAACCATTGCAGTCAAATCCTGGATTCCCTGCGGCCCCAACACCTGGCGGGAGTAGTGGCACACACACCCTTACATACAACATGTGTTCTAAAGATGTATGTTTGCATATGCACAAATGCATGTATCGCATTTGAGTGTGCGCACATATCACACACACACACACACACACACACACACACCACTTTCTGTTATTCACATGTTTATTATACATTGATTCCTTGTTTCGAACAGGTTGTGTCCTGAAACTGAGAAGCTGTATTGAGGCTGCATTTCCTTTAACCATAGTCTATCACCAGAGATGGCAACTGTACTGAAGCAGCATTTCATCTACGAAAGAATATCAGAGTTTCTGCTTCAAACTGGTGCCTGATAGAAGTTCTTAAGGTCCTTCATTGCCTTTTTGATGATGACAGTTTGCAGGGTGGTAGCGATGGAATGAGAAACCCCCTCCTGACACACAAGAGATGGCTCTGAAGAGTGATGGGTAGTGTTTGTACAGAGTGAATGGAGAGGGGGAAAGGAGAGCGACTAGAGGCAAGGGACATTCTTTTGGAGATGCAACACTCAGGATTTACTTCTGTACTAAGGTGATAACTGACCTCCTTTTCTCTGGACAATGGAGGCTGGTCTATAGAGGAAACAACATGTGTTTTTGCATATGCACAAAGGAAGGAGGGACGTGCAATGACAGAAGACAAAAAAAAAAGAACACACAGAATAAAAGGAGCTACCAAAGGAAGAAGCCAAGCCACCCACAACCTGGGGTATGGTACAAAGTGATCAAGATCCAGTGCATCAAGGCCCAAAATTACCTGGGAGGCTCACAACATAATCCAAAGGCCATTCTTCCATGTTTATGGCCAAATGAATGACCCAAATCATTGGCTCCCAACCTTGGGTCCCCAGATGTTCTTGGACTGCATCTCCCAGAAGCCCTTGCCAGAACTTCCGATGGCAAAGGCTTATGAGAGTTGTAGTCCAAGAATGTCTGGGGACCCAAGGTTGAGAACCACTGCTGCTCTTCTGCACTATTTCTCGCGGTTGGTCTTACTCTTTACTTTTACAATTTTTTTGTCATATGCTTGGAAACATGCCAAAACTGGAGGGTATTTATACAATTCCAGGATGACTGCAGGACACAGTGGAGAGCCATTCTTTACCCACAAGGAGGAAAAAAACCATAGAGCATTCTTCATAACTGGGCCAGCTTTTGTAGAATGGTTGTCATTCATGCTATAATACCAGAAACAAATTAATTCATTTTAATTAAGCATGTGCCCTGTCTTCGGGCTCATGTGCAAGATGTCCGTGATATTTATGCCATTCTGGGGTGACCATGTGGTGGAGAAAGTATCTTCCGGTCACCCACAGGGCAGTTTGCCCCCCCCCAATTGATGCTACATGTTCATTCTGGCATTTGTAGGGTAACACTTTTTTAAAAAAACGAGAGAGAAAGCTGTGCTAAGATTCCAAACAAGGAAAGGGAAGTTAACACATTGTGTCCAGGAAGATTCAGCTGGTGCCAAAGGAGAAGAATGACAGCTGAAGCTCCCAATAAAACCGAGACTCCTTCTGGACACCCCAGCCACAGAGCTGCTTGGAGGGGGTTGGGTCTGAGACTGAGGTTACTGGAAAAAAAGTGCAAAGGAAAACACTTGTCATTGCTAGCCAGGATCTGTGTCCTTTTTAAAAAAATCCAGCTTGGTTTATTAAATTTTACGCTATGAGGACTCTCTCTCTCTCCATCACCCCTCTCTCTGTGTCTGTGTGTGTCTGTGTATCTATGTCTCTGTGTGTGCAGAATAATACCTGTAGTCTTCTTGCATGGGCTTTGAATGGCTAGGTCTGAATTGCGATGCTCTGCCTAGCCTCTTTTCTTCTTCTTTTTACTTATTAATATAGTGGCTCAAATACTACTGTCTACTGGCTTTTGCATCGTTACCAGAACAATGCCTGTGGCAGAAGTAAAATGCTTATGTGTGTCTCTAAGTATTTAAGGCTTACCACAATGCCAGTAAAGCTCCACTCTAAGTCAAAGGAAATGGATACTCATATCCAAAGCAGAAATAAGAATTCCACAAAAAATACTCTTCATTTTCCTAGAATATATTAAATATAGACATTCTTTAAATTTTTAACTGCAAGCATACATTGTTTAAAATTGTCATTTACTCTACCTGCAACTGGAAATCCCATGGTAGCACATAAAGAAGCAAGAAGGAATGAGAATTAACGTCTTTGTGTTAATGACAATGAATTTTAACCGCTTTCAGAATGCTCTGAATTGGAAGAATATGAGTTACCGTGAGCATAAGAACTTCAGAAATGCTCTGGTACATCAGAGCAAACGAAGCATGTTGTTTCCCACCAATCCAACCTTTCCAGAAATGAGCAGAGCATGGAGGTAATAAATCCCTGCCATGCTGTTGCTGCCAGTGACTTCCACACCAGCTGTTATGCATAGATGTTTCACTTAACTGTTATGGCCACCAGCTAGTGTCAGATTTATTTTCTACACAGTTGACCAATCCTGCACGGACATTACTGTGGTAGCTTGCTGCAGTTTTAGTCACAAAAGGAACCAGTTGTGCTGAAGACCTCGTTCTTCTTGTGGGAACTAGACTGATTGCAGTGACCTCCATGTCTGGACTTCAACTCAACCCCATAAGACAGAAATTCTTGATAACTGTATATTTACTGGGAAAGCACTTTCAGTACATGCCATGAAAACAGAGCATTTAAATATCTCAGCTGGTAAGCAATCCCAAATGATTCCCCAGTCCTGCCCAAAGAATTTGAAATCTAAACAACTTTCTGTGGTATTACTTCATATGTGATTTCAGGACAACATAGGACAAGGTTTGCTGGGCCATACGGAAGGCCTGTTGAGCCCAGCACCTTCCTGTCCACACTAACCAACCAGATACTCCTCGGGGAGCCCACAAGCAGGTTAAAAAGCCAATCATCATCTTCTGCTATTATTTCTCAATAACTGGTGTACAAGCACACAATGCTGGAGAGAAGTAGGCCTTAGAATATTCAATGGGACTTTTCTGGTTGGCAAGTGAATGTACTGTATGTAGGATTGTGGCTACCAATGCATTTAACATAACTGTGCTTTAGAGCAGTGGTCCCCAACCTTGGGCCTCCAGATGTTCTTGGACTTCAACTCCCAGAAATCCTGGCCAGCAGAGGTGGTGGTGAAGGCTTCTGGGAGCTGTAGTCCAAGAACATCTGGAGGCCCAAGTTTGAGGATCACTGCTTTAGAGAATGCTGGGTGACGAACTGCCTTTGACTCCATGGGAAATCTCCTCTGTCTTGTTCCTTATTTTGAAGAAGTGCTCGTGAGAGTGTTGGCTACCCACCTTCCAAATGCTGGCTTCTTTCCCATAGACTACTGCCATGCTGTTGGCCTTGTTGGATTTAATCAGTTGCTTCTCCGTCTCGTTGAGCTCCTCAGACACAAAACCCATGAAGGAATTGTCAGGTGTGTGAGCTGTGGAAAAATAAAAATCCACACGTTTGACTGTCATTAAGGTCCCAGTGGGATTCTCCACAGACCTTGCTCTGCTCTTTGTAACATAAACAACCTTTTCCCAGTAGAGCGCCCCATCCAGAGTGTCATGGAGACAATCCTCACCAGGTTGGATGACGCGTGGCAGTCGAGCTACATATCCATCTTATGACATATACAGACTGCCACATGACCCTCCCACATAGCTTCCCATGGTTACAGTACACCTTTTCTGGTAATTCACAAGATATCTGCTGTGTTTGTCGACAGGACAGTTATGTTCATTTTAGAAACGAGTTTGCTGAGACATTGTGCTCCTTCCATTACACAATATCTTTCCTTTACCAATGGAATAATCCAGAAATGCTTTTAAGTTTTCTTCTCATTAAATAATGCTGATATCTAGTAGAGCGAGCTGTCTGAAGCAGGGCTAGCCATTAAAAAATAATGAAAAATAGCTGCCTTGAGAAATACTATTTTTGAAAAGACAAAACTACATGTCCACTTTGTCACAACTTCTCTAAAACATCTGATTATAATCTCCTCAATGTTTTCTGGGATTCTAATAGATTGATTTCTGAGCAGTCTCCAAATGTACAAGGAACTGGATTATTTTAGAGATGAACCACCTAGGAACATGCATTCCACATATGGTGTGTTTCGCTACCTGCAAAGGCGAGTCAGCTATAGCCTCTATGTGTACATTTGGTCTCAAATATTCAAAGAGCTCTGAAATTTCAGAGTACTAGAAGTCCCATGCTGTTTTTATGTGGTTAATTCTCTAATACAATATTCCAATGAATAATTACAGTATTTTTCCGTGTATAAGATGCTCCCTGTATAAGACCCCACCACCACTTTTCTAACCCCAAATTGTATGTATGTATGTATGTATGTATGTATGTATGTATGTATGTATGTATGTATGTATGTATGTGTGTGTGTGTGTGTGTGTGT